TGTAACGGTATTTTAAAACTTTTGAGATGGAGAATTCAGGCAAAGATATCTTGACCTTTAAAATTATCTTCAAGTATAGAATGTTTAACATTTTCTCTTTTTCGCCCTGAAACCAGTGTGAAATGCAATAAAATGTAAAATTTTTGATTTTTTGTTTTTGTTTTGACTTAAACACAGCTTTGTAATGAATTAAAGAAAAATTTAATGCATGGAAATGCAAATGGAAATGGATTCTTTGATGCAAGGACAGCAATAATGTTTGTTTAAAAAAATAAAATAAAAAAAATATTAAAGTCTCAATATTTTAAGGTCATTTTGAAGGTCATCCAACGACACTATTTTTCTTAGACTATTTCAATCTGGAAAGCCTTAGAACACCGTTACATTTTTTCGCTATCTCTTTTCTTTCTCGAGACATTCGATTTTGTCTTCTTTTTCTTATAATAGAAGATTGTGTGGCGTCTGAGGTTTTTAAAAATAGAAGCTTCCTAGTACAAATATTATCAAATAATTTTATTGATAACGTGATGGGTTTTCACGCGAAACAGCTAATCACAAATTTTGGAGATAATAGCTACGCGGTAGGTAATGTGATATGTGAGTGATTTAAAAAAAACATGTCGACGTACTCTCATGCTCCTATCTTTTTAGTGAACGAGCAAATATGCCTTGTTTGTTCTCTTATTCAAGGTCGTGACGTAATGTAATCAACCTTAATTAAGTGAATTTGGCTCAGTCTCATTCGCTATCTATACTCAAGAACTCAGAACAACTTCCCTGTCCAATTAGTCATAAGTTCATGAGTCACATATGACTCATTTTTGTATACAAAATGATACGTGGACGTACAGCACAAAACCTAAGATTAAAAAATGTATGATAGAAAATTTCGCAATTTTTTCCTGAAAGTTCTCTTTTAGTAAAAAGAAGAAACGTGCAATAAATAAAACTCTAATACAAAATATTAGACTTTTATTCATAGAAAAATGTTTCTCACTATTGCTATCTAAACAAAAAGGCTTTTTAAACTTTTTGCACTCGATCTTTCAATTTGGCGTAGCATCCCGCGAATATTTTTCGCACAAGTTTATTGCTCAACAAAGCATGCCAGTCGTTTCTCGAATTGGAAACGTCAATTGGAAATGCCAAGTGAAGCCAAGTCCTTCTCCACCTGGTCTTTCCACTGAAGTAGGGGCCTCCCTCTTCCTCTGCCACCACCAACGGCTTACGAGTTGATTACACTGGTCGACGGCCAAAATTTACCAGAGACGCCGTTATGAAATTCTTATGTAAAATCACCCCCTGATTCCGAAAATCAAGGTTATTTTTAATTTTATGGTACCGTTTTTGAGATATTTGCAATTTACCGTTTTTGCAAAAAAAAAAAAAATTGGGTCCACTTAATCATATATATCTCAAGAACGAATAAAGCAATTCCAAAACGGTTTGAAGCTTTTAAAAGGTAATAAAATTTTCTATAAGCTGTGCATACAACACTTTTTGCTAGGCCCTGTAGATTCAAAGATAACGAACAATCATTACCGATCTTTTCAATTTTTTTGTAAAAATATAAAAGAAATTGTAATTTGCGGGGAAGGATCTCGAAAACCTTTTATTTTTTTGCAGATTTTTTTTTTCTCCCTAAGCTCTGTTGTATCATCGAAGAAAATCGATGCAAAACTACGTAAGTTATAAGCGATCAAATAAAAATACCCAGGTTGCGCAATTTCAACGTATACCTCAAAACGTATGTATGGTATAAAGAAGAGTGAAATATCTAGCTATTCTCTGTTTCTATTGAGTTAAAAGTTCAATTTATGAATGAAATTACCCATATTTTTAACTTTTTTTTTTAATTTATTTATGTTTATACTATATTCTAACAATCTTTATCTTAATTTGATTGGTAATGTCACTGTAGGTACGCTAGCATAGGTTACTCCTCTTGATCTTCCAACGCCAAGTACTTTTGTTTGACAAATATAACACTCTATTGAATGGCAAGTAGGTTCTCTCCATATCATTGGTGTATCAAATTTTGTTTGTTGTCCTGATTCCCACTGAATCAATTCTACTCGACACGATGTACACAAAGTGTTCGGTGTCCATGGTTTTTCAGCATTTTTAGGCTCAATTCCAAAATACTTGGAGTATAAAGTTTTGATATGATCTGAGAACACTCGTCGTCGCCTTATGATAGTAAATTGGCCACACATGAAACAGAACATATCTGGATCCTTATTACACTCAAATTCTCGCTTCCTTTTACTCATTTTATTTTTTTTAATAAATCACGGTTTTGAAATTAGACTTATGAACTGAACTATCTCCGGCGAGCCTTGAAGATGTTATGAAGTTTCAAAGCGCATTAACTCATATTTATACTCGGAACAAGAATAAAATTGAAAAAATCAAATCTTACCTAGACAGAAAGGTTCCTTTTTATAACAAGCCGGGAAAAGAAAATACTACCTGTTTTAGATGTAGGCTTTAGAAATTTTCTGTGTCTTATAATTTTGAAAATCTACCTGCATACTTACCCATAACTGACGGAAATACATGTTTATAACTACATGCCTACAGCAGGTTTCGAACCCAACCACTCTTCCTTTCGATGCAACCACTCTACCTACTATAATACAATTCGAGTATTAAAAGTACTATTTGATTTATTTAAAGAAAAAGTGTTATCATTGTTATGGTGTTATTCGTTTATCCGGATAATATCTCACTTGCACTTTATACCTTTAATATATGTATGTATGTATAGGTACATACATTGAAGTTGCGCAACCTGGGTATTTTTATTTGATCGCTTATAACTTACGTAGTTTTGCATCGATTTTCTTCGATGATAGCTTATTTTTTTTGTAATACAACAGAGCTTAGGGAGAAAAAAAAAATCTGCAAAAAAATAAAAGGTTTTCGAGATCCTTCCCCGCAAAGTACAATTTTTTTTATATTTTTACAAAAAAAATTGAAAAAATCGGTAATGATTGTTCGTTATCTTTGAATCTACAGGGCCTAGCAATTTTATTACCTTTTAAAAGCTTCAAACCGTTTTGGAATTGCTTAATTCGTTCTTGAGATATATATGATAAAGTGGACCCAATTTTTTTTTTTTTTGCAAAAACGGTAAATTGCAAATATCTCAAAAATGGTACCATAGAATTAAAAATAACCTTGATTTTCGGAATCAGGGGTGATTTTACATAAGAATTTCATAACGGCGTTTCTGGTAAAGAGAAAAAGTTGAAATTTGTGGTCCAGTGTTACTTTCAGAGCTGGACCATTCGAACGAAATGGCCTGGGCAGCGGAGCCGCTGTATATTAATTCGTTGCACTATTTCCGCATCGTGCAGAGCTCTTCGTTTAATCGTCTGCGGTATTCGCCATCGCCATCGCCAACGCGCCTCTAAATCTTTCGCTGCATCCGATGTTCTGGTTGCCCATACCTCCGCGACAAAGTTCGCTTCCATATAAAATGTGGACAAAAATAGAATTCTGGACGTATTTAAAACATCACTTCCTTATCATAAATAACAATTTCGCAGCGAAAATAATCAATATTCAGTGGTTCGAAATGTTATGAGAAATAGTTAAAGTTACTTTCCCAATTCTTCTTGCCAAAACAAAAATAAAGATTTACTGATTCGATAAGTAGTACTTTCTGCCTTATTAAAAACAAACTGAAGTATCTAAAAAATTTAGTAATACATGCATACATACACATGTATATGACTTCATTCACAGATGGTTCTAATCACTACATTCACTTGGGAGTGCGCGTGTGTATGAAAAAATGCTCGTAAATACTTATCACATCTTAGATTATAAATAATACAAAAACAAACTGTGAGCTTCTCCAAAGTTTTCTACTCAAATTATTATCAACACACTTTAATTTCATTCAGATAGTTCAGGACTAATGAATGACAAATAGCCTTATCACGGTATGTGTGGCAGTATAAATAGAGGTCCGGGGCCTCATTAGCTAGTATTTGTACCATAAATGTACATCGATATGCCGCGCGACTTATTACGCTTAATAACAATAGCGCTGCTCTGCGCCTGCAGTGCTTCTGCATCAACCGAAGTTGACTGGTGGGAGGACGCAACACTCTACCAGATCTACCCGCGCTCCTTTATGGACAGCGATGGCGACGGTATCGGTGATTTGAATGGCATTACATCCCGTCTTGAATATTTCAAGGAAATCGGTGTAACAGCTGCATGGATTTCGCCCATCTACGAGTCTCCCATGGCGGATATGGGTTACGATGTAGCTAATTTCACCAATATCGATCCGCTCTTTGGTACATTGGATGACTTTGATGTGATGATTGAAAAGGCGCATAAATTGGGACTAAAAATTATTATGGATTTCGTACCGAATCACTCGAGCAATGAGTGTGAGTGGTTTAAAAAGTCCATACGTCGTGAAGATGGCTACGATGATGTTTATGTATGGTCCGATGGTAAGATCGATCCAGAAACGGGTGAGCGTCAGGAACCAAGCAACTGGGTAAGAAAATGAAAGCAGAGGCGATAGTTTTTTCTTCGATCTTCACAAACGTACTATATTCCTTTTCTAGTTGGCAGCCTTTGGTGGTTCGCAATGGACTTGGAACGAAGAACGCCAGCAGTACTATTTACATCAGTTTCTGGCCGAGCAACCGGACTTCAACCTCAGCAATCCATTGGTACGGCAACATTTAATCGAGGCCTTAGAGTTTTGGCTTGAGCGTGGTGTAGATTCATTTCGAATAGATGCAGTGCCGTTTTTCTATGAAACACATTATGAAAATGGCACTTTCCCAGATGAGGTCATTAGAGGAGATCATACAAAGAACCGACCCGAAAACCCCGAACCATTGTACGAATGGCGTGAGTATTTGGATGAATACACGAGAGTACATGGTGGGGACTCTAGGTGAGAAAACATGGAACAAGATGGTAGAAACGTAAAACAGCTTTTAATGCGATACATTACTCTTTAGAATCCAAGTTGCGGAAGCTTACGCGCCCGTAGATGTTTTGGCCACTTATATATCAAATGGTACGCATATTGGTAGCCAGATGCCAATGAATTTTAATTTCATTGAATTACGTACCTCAACGACGGCAGAGGACATAGAACAGTGCGCTAAAGAGTGGATGGATGTCATGTGGACGGGGCATAAGATGGCCAATTGGCAAATAGGAAACCATGACAATGGCCGCCCATCATCACGCATAGGCATCCACACCGTGGATACCATGGTATTAATAGTTCATGGGTTGCCCGGCGCATCTGTTATTTATTACGTAAGCGCTGACTATCAGAAAAAAAACAAGAAAACAGTTCTCATAAGAAAATTAAATTTGCTCTGTCTTCAACGTTTTAGGGCGATGAGATTGGCATGTCTGATATGGACATAGACTCTGATAATTTCCGAGATCCAGAGCGCACGCCAATGCAATGGGACACATCGGAGAATGCCGGCTTCAGCACAGGCAACTCCACTTGGCTGCCCGTAAATCCTAACTACAAATATATCAACGTACAGACGGAGCGGGGCGTGGCACGTAGCACTTTGAATATATGCAAGGGAATAATTAAGTTAAAGCAGACTGCGGCCTTCAAGGCTTTCAAGGAGGATGGTGGCTTTTCGTATGGCGCGCTGTCGAAGCAAGTCTTTCAGATAGTCAGGTTTGTGACAGCGAGACAACGTTAATGGAATAACCATGTATATATTGCAATATCTTGTAAACTTTTTTTTTAGAACTGCTGCTGGTATCGAGGAGTACCGTATACTAGCGAACTTTGGTAGTGCGATAGAACACTTTGATGGTTTGACCAACAAGACTATGGAGTATGTGCTGCTCACTTCATATTCACCGCACAATTATGGGTAAGTGCAGTAATGAAGGATGAGTTACCAGTTTTGACCCTTTTTTATTTACATAAATTTTTTTTTTTTTGTGTTTCAGCGATAAAGTTGACTTAAGTAAACGCATTTATCTGATGCCTTATGAAGCGGTTGTACTTCGGTGGATTGCGTAATATATGTGCGCATTCGTTTGACCACTTCCAGCTTTTTCTCATATACCTGTGCAAAGGCAAACTCATTACATAAATAGGTAAATTGAAGTGTAGCTACTCACCAAACAATTTTTATTGCCGGCAATATCGCTATCATATCGATTTCTTATTATCAGTCGCTCTAAAACGTCCGCAGAAGGCAACTCGCCTGATCGAGCGATTTTCTTATAGGCAATATTTGGGATAATTTTATTCTATTTAATATTTAATTTATTTTTGATTAAAAAATTACAATTGGAAAACGAAATTAATGATTTTTCCCGCTATATAAGGCTCTTCCTAGTTTTTTTAATCCTATATTTGGCATACATTAGATGCTTTTTCTCTATACTGTTGTTAAAATTTATGTTGCAGATTTCTCACCATGACAATAAATCGGCGAGTCGCCAATTTGTTGCCAATGACGATTGTTGCATATTTCTCATGTTTTGCTTGGTGGGTACCTACGTACAGTTGTGTGAATGTATGTAAATAAAAAGCTGAGGAAAAAGTTTTGAATTTGTATGAAAATTTTTTCAGGCTTTTTGAATTTTTATAAATTTCTTCGAAACTTTGATTTTTATGGTTTTCATTGTAGCGATAAGCAAATTTTTATAAAAAAGCAATTAAAATAAAAAAAGGAAATTAATATAACTCAGCTATAAACTGACATTTATGTATGTATGTATTTTACTTAGTTCATTTTAAGTAGTGCTGCAAAGCAAAAATGGGTTGATTCGCTAAAAATAAATATGTACATACATATATCTAACAAAAAATGGTGTTTGGTCTGTTATATGAGCTAACCATTTTTATTTCCGCCTCGAGAACAAAATTTGTATGCCCATAGGTGGGTAACAGACTGCCTTCCGGCACAGTTCGAAAAAAATTTCGGCAAAATCTACATTGGGGCGGGTCATTTTTTTTTTTTTTACTATGTGCGTATAGCATAGGAAGATTCTACGCGTTATTCTAAGTAAATTTTCCGAAGAAACCGTGGGCCTAAAATCAGTTTGGAGTTTGCCAATTTGAAAAAATTGGTTTCGACGAAAATGTGAAAATCTTCATTGTAGCGCCCTATGGTGGAAGTCTTAAGAAAAACCCACTAATAGCATGTTTTTTGTCAAAATTTAAGCACTACTTTACGACACTATAGAAAAATGCTAAGTAACCTATTTTCAAAATTTGGCAAACTTCAAATTAATATTAAGAATCTGAGCATGCAAATACTTGATTGGGATGCAATCAATGTATTGTTATAGTTTCGAGCATTTTGATTAATGCTAGAAAATTATATTGACCTCAAAAGAGAATAACTCATTTTCTTACGTGCAATTCCTATGGGAAAAATACACACTCGATGCGCGACCTCTTAGAATTATCGACCTGGGATCTGATTGGCAAGTATAAGAGCGGGGTACTTGACGTTAATGAACTTTGGGGGCAAAAAATAGTATTTTCGAAACAAACTTGACTGTGAATGCCGAATATATAACAAAAATGTAAAAAGGTACGTAGGTACGGCCAAAAAGAAAACATCGGGATTACCTTAAAAAAAATTTAGACTCAGTGGAGAACTTTTTTTCCGGTACGATCTAATGCATGTACATACATAAACCAATCTACTAATCTTCTAATCGAATGGAAAATCCAAATTATGAATCACGCTAAAATTATTGTAAATATTTTATCAATTGCTATAGAACCCTTGATATATGAACATATTATATAAGATTAGGCTTCAAGAGTGGCAGCACTCGAGAGAGTGAGATAAAGAAAATCATTATATTGAATTAGTGTAGTGGCAGCCAAACTCATACAAACATGCGCACCAAAGCTTACAAAGGCACACCAAATAATTAGTCAAAACGCAATAAAAATATTTTTAGTTCAAAGTTATCCCTTTATGTTGTGGTATGGATACGATGTGACAGACATTTAGAACGCACACTGATATTTTGTTTCTCTACCACAAACGAAATTTTTTTGGTTTTCCAGCCATGAATATGGCAGAGTTGCCTTAATGTTTCATGTCAGAGCTTTTTTTATGGTGTAATCGCTTTTTACCACGTTCATTTTCGTGGTATAGGAACCAGCCTTAAACCACCTTGTACAATAGTACCTGCAGTATACATAAACCATATAAATACAATAAACCATATGTCTTCCAGGCCTATCAAAATACGTCATTTGCAGAAAAAAACTGTTTCACAAAATCTTTAAAAAGCTTAATACGGTGACATTAAATAACCAGTACAAAGTTCAGCATGCGCTGCCACAAATGAATTGTACAGTTGGTGTTTAGCTGAGGGCGAGCGGGAGGCCAGGTTTAGAGTTTTGATCGATTTGTTGCGAGTGTTTACATATCGATCTCAATGAACCCATATGGTTTATGGATGTACATCAAGTCAACCACGCACTTCATATGCCTGATATGCGAGAGAAAGAGAGAGATATTTATATATATAGGCAGTCCGATGAAGCGGTAGCGCATGATGTCACCCTTTTACCATTTATTAATTGAGGGACTCCATTGGAGGAGTCATGCTCTAGCTGCAGAAAGCTGCTGTGCAATGAGTTGGGATTTATTCAGGGATGCATTCATACAGAGCCCCAGCGTGGTTTGTAAGCCGTAGCTTACTACCATCTCGAAAATTACTCCGGGAGTAAAGTGTGAGCGATGCTTAAAGTCCCTTGTGGTAATCAGCGTTGCCATTTTAGCCGTTTTCCGGCTAGATTTAGCCGGTTTTGATAGCAACTAGCCGGAGAAAATTCGATCTAGCCGGCAGCCGATTTGTTAGCCGGTCTGTAAAAAAAAGTTAGCCGTTTTTAGCGTTTCAGGTGCAAAAAGTAAACAAGTTGTTCGAAAGCAATAATGCAGACCCAATGAAGATTTTTAATGAACTCAATGTTTTACTTTCGCATCTATGCTCCCTAGTGGTTATTAGCGCGGACACATTTGATCCTATATGCTCCCCGTTGGAACCATACCTTGCTCCATTTCGTCAGTTTTATCACAGTTTTGAAGAGTATTTAAAAACAAAAGTAAGCACAAACGCTTTTGACCACGAAGCCGAGAAAATAATTCGAGAAAATGGTCGCTATTTTATTATCACTTTAATAAAGGAATTACGCCAAATATTGCCACACTAAAAAAATAGACTTTTTTCGGTTGGAAATGCATTAAGAGTAATTAAACCAAAAGTATTTGTTCAACTACAGCAACAAAAACAAATATAATGCCGACGAAATAACATCCATAGAGATGCAATGGCAACGGTTAACGTTACATACCTGGAGTAATTTAGACTCAACTGTAAAATTTTGGGCCGAAGTTTATCAATTTCGAAATGCCCTAGGAGAAACCCCTTTTGCTGACCTTTCCAACCTAGCTTTTAGTTTTCTTGTTTTGCCTATAAGTAATGCAGAAGTAGAGCGAATATTTAGTTCAATGAATACAATAAAAACTAAGCAAAGAAATCCAATGTGCGTTAAAACGTTAAACGCTATTTTATACATATATAAGATACGGTTTAAAACTTGAAGAAAAATGCTGCCATAATTTTACTGTAGATGACGATCTCTTAAAATTAATGAATTCAGGTGATATATACAATAGTGATTCATTTGATGATGGGGAATATACACTCGATATAAATTAATGGTGTTAACTAGTCTTTCGTTTCTTGTGATTTATTTAAATAAAGCATGTGAATTTTCACTAAAACATTTTAGCCGTTTTTAGCCGCTTTTTTTTGCCAATCTAGCCGGTCGGCCCAAAAAGTTCTGGCAACACTGGTGGTAATAGCCAAGCTGAGTAAGCGTTGACCATGGCTAGAAATTCCAGCGAATATCACTTCTCTGCGTTCAGCGAAGAGAGATGTGAGAATTCCATGAAAAATGCCTACCCTATTAAGAACGAGCGAATTACTTTTAAACACAAGTGGATGTGCTTGTTCGCTGCACATGGCTTATGCCGGAAATGCATAAGTCGCTAGATTCTCCATAGTCGTTTGTATGTGTACAGGTCTTTTTCGGCTTCACACCTATTATTTGTTGTGTGTCAGAATGTCAAACAAATGTAGTGCAATTTTGGAATTGCTTCGTCAAGGAAAGCGTCAATGTGAAATTGTACGTTTGCTTGGTGTTACGAAAATGACAGTGTCAGCCGCAGTACGACGGTTGAACGAGTTCGGCCATGAAGACCACTCTCCCGGAAGAGGACAAAAGAACAGTAATATCAAAAGGAGAGATCAAAGAAATTTGCAGGTAACTATGAGAAAAATCGCCTGTGAGACCGGAATCACCCGTGAATCGGTGCGGCAAATAGGTAAAGGACCTAAGCCCCAAATATTATTTCTGAATAGGTATTCAATCTTGCTGAATATATCCCATCCTAAGTTTTCGAAAACAAATTACAAAAAAAAAAGTTTTACACTCACAAAATAAAACATCTCGTTATAAAAAAAATATTTTAAAAATAGTTCTTTAACAACGTCTATGTTTTTAAACATGGTTTTTATAGAGATTTAAACAATTATAACACGATGGTACGATTTTATATCCCGTATTTATTAGTCTTCACTATGTAAATCAACTTGAAAAAGTTCAACTGTTTATAGCTAATACCTACCTATATACCTACATATATGGAAATATTAAGACTGTTTTCTTAGCTTTAAAACAGCGTTAAGATGAAGTTTCTACGATGAGCAGATTTCGAGATATAAGGATTGATGTGATGTGGTTGAGTGTGCATTCACATTTTATTCGTTACAAAAATGTGATTGTTTGATTTGAAAAATTTATGAATGCTAGGGAAAAATCACAAACAGAATATGAATGCAACATAGACATTCCCAATCATCTCGATTGTAAATTTTGGTTGAATGGAACTTTTTATCATCAGTACTACACTGAAAAAATATGCCTTGACAGTAGACGGAAATCTTGATAAGTCGTTTTGCTTTTGCTTTTGTAATACTGCTACAATTTGGTACAGTAATACTTATGACCAGGGTGGGCAAAAACGCGGAGTTCGAGCGAGCGAGCGAACAAACTCCTACTCAATGCCTCGCAGCTCGTACTCGTAGCAGCAATGAGGCGAGGCACGAGAAGGTGTGGTACGTTCCATTAACAATTATTTGCAGAAAAAAATTGCCGGAATGCAATGAGATGGAAGTTATTTTCTATGGAAATTTACTTTTTTTTTGTCGTTGTGAACCATAAACAATTATCTTATCAAAACAAAAAACTCGGCCATTGAAAAATTGGTGGCTCACTTCAGAAATTTACCACTGAGATGGCTATCAAATAATTTTAAGTTTGGGACAACCCCAAGTACTCTTATCTCGACATGTCATAAACAGTGTTGCCGCGCCGTCTCAAGAAAATGCCGACCAAGCAAAAAATGTGTCCAAATGTATACAATTTTCTTTTTTACGTATCCGTGTCATAATTTGTAAGAAAACAAAACATTTTCAAGAAAAAGACATAATTTAACCCATCCTAAGGACTTGGAATACATGTATTTATATATTTTTATTTTCCATAAAATCAAACATCTATAATTTCAGTTTGTAAGTTAAATTTTTTGTGCATAAGTATTTTGCAAAGTATTTATAATAAATAGTAGGTAATTAATATGTTACATTTGTACCTGTACACTCTAAAAAGTGCATGTATGTAAAAGTAAACAGGCAGTGCTTAATTCTATTACACGGTGGAAACTTTGCGTACATTAAAAGAGGAAACCGGTTACCTCTCTGAGTGTATTTAAAGTCTTTTCAGTAAAATTTATACAAATTTCCTTACATAAATCAAATTTAGTTTTTTAAACAGTGCATTTTAAACGACACTGAGATCTTTTTTTCTTTTTAATCGACTTCACAAAAAGGGGAAGGCTATCAAGGCCTATTTAAAAAAGTATTCACATTTATACTGATCGGAAAAAATAAATATCTCGCAAAAATCCGTCTAAAAATGTATCCCATTGGATCTATTTAGATCTCTGGTCATAAACAGTGTTGCTACAACATACCTTTTTTTTACCAAAATCACCAGAAAAAGTTACCAATCTCAACAAAAAATTACAAAACTTATTTTACATCCAGAACTGTACATAGATTTGTATGTCTGTGCATATATCCGAAGACAGCAAGCTTTTCATGCCACTAGCGCTCTATTCAGCTATAATATGTGTATCTGCGTGAACGCTAAAAGTCACAACAGGATTTCATGGATCCGGTTCATTTCAACAGAGGATTATTAGGCCCATAATTTCCCCGTAGAGGGGATGCCATTTGGCCACGGAGATCATCCGACTTGGCACCATGGGATTTTGGAGTACTTTAAAATCAACATATGTCCAGGCATGACAAACATACATATAATTATCTAAAAATTCAAAGCTTGAAGGCAGTCCTGAAAGCTTTCGACTCACACATAGAAAAAGTTAAGTCCCCTACTGAATGCTGTAGCTTTTTGAACGCAACGAACTGACTTCTGGAATAGCACACGGTAGATATAGCAAAAGCCACTTTCAAGCAGTTTGTTAGAGTTCACCCAATTCTAGTAACCAAGGAACGCCGAAGAACTTTTTCGTCTTGCGAAACTTTCAGGATTACCTGGTATTTTAATAAAAGGAAACGCTTACTGCCCACTTCCTAATGTAAAATCAGAACTTTTTTGACCTATGTTACATGTAGGACCGAATCGAAAAATAAGTTACCAAATGACCAAATTTGATAAATAAAGAAAAAATATTACCAATTTTGGTAAGCAAATTACCAAAGCGGCAACGCTGCTCATAAAGTATAAATGCAAGCGAAGACAGTACCTTCGTAGTTAGTACTTGCAGAGATGTTCCGTGCTGTAGTACCCTTATTGACAACAGTGCTCTTCTGCGCTGGTGTCGCTTCCGCGGCAACCGAAGTTGATTGGTGGGAGTCTGCAACACTCTACCAGATCTACCCTCGCTCCTTTATGGATAGTGATGGCGACGGAATCGGTGATTTGAATGGCATCACATCCCGCCTGGAGTTCCTCAAGGAAATTGGCGTCACGGCTGCGTGGCTTTCGCCAATCTACGAGTCTCCTATGGCGGATATGGGTTACGATGTAGCCAATTTCACAAATATTGATCCTATATTTGGCACATTGGCTGACTTTGATGTGATGATTGCCAAGGCGCATCAATTAGGACTAAAAATTATTATGGACTTTGTGCCAAATCACTCGAGCGATGAGTGTGAGTGGTTTCAGAAGTCGATACGTCGTGAAGATGGCTACGATGACTTTTATGTGTGGTCCGATGGTAAGATCGACCCAGAAACGGGTGAGCGGCAACTACCCAGCAATTGGGTAAGCAATTGAAAAAGGAAGAATTTTTATTCTATCAAGGAACCTGTCGTCTTTACATTTCTTTCTTTTACAGCAAGCAATTTTTGGTGGTTCGCAATGGACTTGGAACGAAGATCGCCAACAGTATTATCTGCACCAGTTTCTAGCTAAACAACCCGACTTAAACCACACCAATCCAATGGTGCGTAAGCACATGATTGAGGTTTTGGAATTTTGGCTTGAGCGCGGCGTGGACTCGTTTCGTATCGATGCTGTGCCATTCTTCTTTGAAACGCATTACGAAAATGGTACCTTCCCAGATGAGGACAGGTATGGAATTCATACACTGAATTTGCCTGAAAACGTTGAACTATTATATGAATGGCGTGAGTTTTTAGACGAATACCAGCGAGTGCATGGCGGCGATTCTAGGTAAAGAAGCGATATGAGAAAACACAATATACAAATCCAATACATTATTTCTTAGGATCCAAGTTGCAGAAGCATATGCGCCAATTGATATTTTGAGCGCGTACATTGCCAACGGCACCCACGTCGGTGCGCAGATGCCTCTGAATTTTAATTTCATTGAATTACGCACCTCAACCACGGCAGAGGACGTCGAACAGCGCGCTAAAATGTGGATGGATGTTATGTGGACAAAGCATCGGTCGGCCAATTGGCAAGCAGGCAACCATGACAACAGTCGTCCGGCTACACGTATAGGCGAGAAAAGAGTGGATATGATGACGATGATAGTGCACGCCATGCCCGGCGCATCGGTCACTTATAACGTAAGTTCTGACTTACATATGTCACTATTAAACTAGTTTGTCAATATTTAAGGGTGATGAGATCGGCATGACTGACATGGACACAGACTCTGACAATTACCGAGATCCAGAGCGCACGCCAATGCAATGGGACACATCGGAGAATGCCGGCTTCAGCACAGGCAACTCCACTTGGCTGCCAATCAATCCGAACTACAAATACCTCAACGTACAAACACAACGGGGCGTGGCACGCAGTACTTTGAATATTTACAAAGGAATGACCAAGCTGAAAAAAACTGCCGCCTTCAAGGCGTTCAAGGAGGATGGTGGTTTCTCGTATGGAGCTTTGTCGAAGCAAATCTTTCACATAGTGAGGTTTGTGACAAACAAAGATGCAACTAGCCGAAATAAGGTTATATTAATTTAATTAAGCTTGCCTTTCTAGAACTGCTGCTGGTAGAGAGGAGTATCGTTTGCTAGCGAATTTTGGGAACCAAATAGAATACTTGGATGGTTTGACCAACAAGACAATGGAGTATGTGCTGCTCACTTCATATTCGCCCCATAAGTATGGGTAAGTTTAGTCGATTGTGAGATTGCATAAAATTTTTTCTAATTATTATATTTTCTTGTTCGCATTTCAGTGATAAAGTTGATTTAAGTAAACGTATCTATTTGATGCCCTATGAAGCGGTTATTCTTCGGTGGACTGCGTAGATGCCTATGCATTTTTGGTTCTTGTAGCCGGATAATACTTATATGATAATAGTATTTTGTATGTATAGTATTAATAAAGTATGGATTTTTTTAAACCCATTAGAAATGTGGTATCATTAGTTTTAGTGTTTTTTTTTATATAGATATTTTAGAGTGCGACCCAGGATCTTACCTCTAGCCACTCGGCTATCGCAGCAAGAGTTTATAGGATACCTTTGGCTCAGCGGTAGCGTGCTAACTAGCTCATGATATCGCGTACGTTTATTTCACTCTAAAGTCCAGTCAGAAGTTTGATGAGGAATGTGGAAATACATTACACCTATGACTTCTACCGCTAGACCTTCTTGACTTTTCCAATTTTTTTAATAAAATTGTCATGAAGCTCCATTAGATATTACAGTTATAAATCCACTCTAAAATCAGTATCAGACGATTGGGCAGTTGGTGTGAATTGGTAGCCCTCTCATGTGAAGGTAAAATATTTGGCTTTTCCCAATCTGGCAAACAATTTCATACACTTATCAATTAGATTTCTGATTGAGTTTGTATGTTTTGTACTAATGCTGCGACTTCTAAAAATGTTTACAAATTTACCAGTCGCACAGTGATATTTGGTCCCCAATTCGTGCCCATAAATCCAAAAATAAAGCATCGATTTTGGGGGTTTTGTTTTCCTTGGTTGGCTAAAATCATGTTTCAGCTATCGAAATATGTTCAATACAGGTTCGAACCTTTTACACCTGTTTGTAAGATCAGTGGTAAAGTGTTAATTGACGCAGTGCTCTGGAAAGTAAAAATGTAATGCTAAAGTTTAAAAGAACGCCAAAAGCCATAGGTGCGATCGATTTTAGTTTTGTAAAATTGGTTTTTCTTCTGCAGGTGAGTTCTATGTATTTATAACATATAATTTAAAAAATTTTTAATATGTTCAACTGATTAGTATTTAATGAAAAATTCAAGAAATTTTTTTAATAAAAGCAGTTTAAAGAAAAAGTCATAAGTAATTTTTCACCATATTTACCAACAAAAAATTTATGTTTAATTAAACAATAAGACTAAATATTGAATCCGATCATGTCCGACCTTTTGTTTACGACGCGATTTTGTACCATATAATATTGAAAGTTTTTCTGAAGATGATTTTTTCAAATTAATTTTTTTTAAACCAATTTCATGTAAGATGCACGTAAACATGATTATATTATAATTATATAGCATTTTTATTTAAGAATTTTAAATACAAACTTAAAAAACCCAAACAGAACTCAATATTTTTAAATAATATTTTTCAAATTAAGCACATTTCTTTTAATTTAAGGCGCCATATTGGATCAACAATTATGCACTTAGTTATTTTGCTTTCAGGTTGAAATTTAGCGACCCTAATAACTCTTAAATAATATAATAATAAGCTATTCTTATTAATATTATTAACAAAATTATTATGTTTAAGATTTGAGGCGCGCTATATTGGATCGCGCTATATTGGATTGGATTTTTATATTAGAATTGAAGTCGGTTTTGTTTTTTTGCTAAAAAATTACTTTTTTATATAGCGGAACCAAAATGAGGAGTGCAAATCACAGCAATACACGCGAACAGATATGACTAGATGTAACATATAACGACATATAACGACGCGATTGGGGATTTCTCACATGAATCAACATTATATGCTGAACAACAAAAAACTGATTAAAACAGTTTTAGCGGTTAAACTGTTCCCGGCAGAAAATGAAACTGGTACAGAACTCCCGCCGACTAGCTTGAGAAGGGACCGTCCTTATTCTTCACAAATCCCAAACCATTGCTTTCAACATAGGAGCACTTGTCTCCCTCTGCCGAACTTTTAAGCTCGTTCTGAACTGGTTCTATTTTGGACTGGTCTGGGACAATAAGTTTTTTTATGAGAAAAAAAAAATTTTGGATTCCATTTATGGATATTTTTTCGTTTTTTCTTTTCTTTTACAGATTTAACTTTATTTTATATAATATATTTTCTTATAAACCGACTTCACAAAAAAAGGAGGAATATTTTTTTATGTATGTTACCGCATAACTTTGGACCACGTGAACAGATCTCGTTAATTCTTTTTATCGGAAAGGTGGTACTTCAAGGGTGGTCCCATAGTAAATTACTTAAAATACGATCATTGGGTCATGAAAAAATTTACGGTACTCGTAAATTTGTATATGAAAATTGAAGTCGGTTGCGCTGTCTGTTTGCTTAAAAATTACTTGTTTTTTTCTTATTTTAGTTTTATAAATTTTATATTTATGTCTTCTTTGAACTCACGACCAACGATGTTAAGAGGCGGAGATCTTCTCGTGGCGCTACTTTCGTATTGTACGAGAATTGAAAATCTGTCCATTTACTTCTCAGCTTTCACATGCTAACTGTGAGAAACATTGACGACGGCGCAACTACCACACCAAAGATTTCAACTGTACCGCTCTGCAGCCGTTTTTGAGCTAGCGCTTTGCCCAACTGCAACTAAATTTTGCTGCACGGGCTGCTAAGTGTTTGACCGAACTTCTACTCTTATTTGTGGTGTGCAACTAGATGTTGTAGCACGAATGGTGTGACCTACAGTTCTGCACCACCTTCGAACGGTAAGAGGATTTTATGAGTAGCTTTTGCATGGCAGAAATACACCCGAAGGTTTTCCATTGCCTGTTGAATTGCGACCACTGTTGGAAAGAAATATATCAAGTTCTATAAAATCAACTGATTTCAGGTGGCCTTTGGGTCATACAAATTGCCAAAACTACTCTTATATGCAATCAATTCACGCGCCTAGGGTTAATTGAGTGCCTGGATTGTTAAGTAATTTTTATTTGTACGAAAAATCGCTCGGTTTTAAAATTGTCTACTCTGACTCTAAAGAGCGTGTCAGACGTGAAAATTCAATATATTTCGAAAAGGAAGGAAAGTGTCTTTCGAAAGTGGTTTTTTTATTTCCGAAGGGCGAATTGCAGCGCAAAATTTTAAAAATCGCTTTTTGGTTGTGTGCAAATGAATTTCTGGCAATATTTCTCTTAATTATAATTAATTTTATTTTTAATTTGAAGATTAATTGATTATTTATAACTGAACAATTCAATTCCGCAAATTAGTTAACTAAAAGCAAGTCAGATATTTTCTTTAAATTGTTTGTTATTATTTCTCACAAAATCGTGATCACCTCCACACGGCAACACTCGAATAGTTTGACAGCACTTGCAGCAGAAAATAAAAATTGCTAGAGCCGCACGAGCAACATGATATATATTTCCGAAATCTATTTGTGCTATTTTAGTTGCAGTCGCACCATGTAACATTAATTTTTGGAACTGATTTCCGAAAGGTGATAGAAAAGCATTTTTCGCTGTTCACACATGGAAATACAATTTTTTCTTTCTCAATTTGACAGCGAATTGCATGGAAAAGTAGGAAATATTGCAACGTCTGACACGCTCTTAAGAGCGCAAGCAACAAATATATTGCTTTGATAAGATGTAACAGCCGATTTGAAGGCACACTTAAGTACGCACCTCGAATATTTGGCAATAAATGCTTCTTTTCAGAGACGATTCTAATCGCTACATCCACTTAGCCAAGCAATGACTACGAAACATTATCAGAACACTTTCGTTTCATTCATTCCATACATGAAATAACGGCAAACGATAAATACCTTTATCGCGAAGTGTGTTGAAGTATATAAAACAAGTCCGGACATAGCCTATTCGATCAGTACTCATCGAGATGTCGTGCTTACTAGTAGCGGTAGTCCTCTGCGTCTGCAGTGTTACGGCGGCAACCGAAGTTGGCTGGTGGGAATCCGCAGCGCTCTACCAGATCTACCCTCGCTCCTTTATGGATAGTGACGGCGACGGTATAGGTGATCTGAATGGCATCACGTCTCGTCTTGAATTCCTGAAGGAACTTGGCATCACCGCTACGTGGCTTTCGCCTATCTACGAGTCACCGATGGCGGATATGGGGTACGATGTATCTAATTTCACCAGGGTGGACCCGATATTTGGCACATTGGACGATTTTGATGCAATGATTGCAAAGGCGCATCAATTGGGAATAAAAATTATTATGGATTTTGTACCTAATCATTCCAGCGATGAGTGCGAGTGGTTCGAAAAGTCGGTACGGCGTGAAGATGGCTACGATGATTTTTATGTTTGGGCTGATCCTAAAATCGATCCAGAAACGGGTGAGCGTCAGAAGCCAAGCAATTGGGTAAGTTAATATGCGAGTATATACTTTTTGGCGAGCGATCTTTCATGTCCTCTATTGTCTTTTGTAGGAGGGCTTTGGAGGTTCCGTATGGGAATGGAATGAAGTACGCCAGCAATATTATTTGCACCGTTTTCTAACCAAGCAACCCGACTTAAACCTCACCAATCCAATGGTGCATCAATATTTGGCCGAGGCCTTAGAATTTTGGCTAGATCGTGGTGTGGACTCATTTCGCGTTGATGCCGTGCATTGCTTTTTTGAGACGCGTTACGAAAACGGCACTTTTCCAGATGAGACCAGGAGAGGAGAGTATACAGATGATTTGCCAAAAAATCGCGAAATGTTATACGAATGGCGTGCGTTGTTAGACGAATACACAGAAAAACATGGCGGTGATACTAGGTATTTATTTAACCCACGTGAAATGGTTTACATATAAGTCCAATACTTTACTCCTTAGAATCCAATTAGCAGAGTCATTTGGGAGCATGAATAGTTTGAGCGAGTATATCTCGAATGGAACCCACGTTGGTAGCCAGATGCCAATGAATTTCAATTTAATTGAGGTTCGTACCTCAACCACTGCAACTCAACTGGAAAGGTTAATCAAATCGTGGATGGATGTTATGTGGACTAATCACAAGCAGGCCAATTGGCATGTAGGAAACCATGATCGAAGCCGCCCAGCTACACGCATAGGTGTGGAAAAGAAGGATGCGATGACGATGTTGGTGCAGGCATTGCCCGGCGCATCTGTTGTTTA